CTGACATATGTTGTGGCCCCCTTTAAGAAAAGTTATGGGCGACTCCATTATTAATGATAGCCTCACTATCAACAAGTTGATTTTAAACCAGAATTAGAATTTTTACGCCATTAACTCTCCAATCTCATATTCTGTCAAAGACCACATTCGAAGGTGTCACATTTCTTATGATCTTCGTCCGGATAAGATTAGGTGGAATATTTCTTCTTCTGGTGATATATCTCTTAAGCAAGCTTATAATTTCAAGTGTGTGAAAATTTCTGAAATTAGTTGGCGTTAGTTTGTTTGGTCTAGCTATCTACCATGTTCGAAATTGGTTATAGTTTTGAGGCTAATTTTGAAGAAAATCCCTACTTACGAGACCTTAAGACGAAGGGGTTTTTATTTCCCTTTTGTTTTCAATTTGTGTTACTTGGAAGAAGAATCTTCTCAACACCTTTTCTTTGATTGAAACTATGTTTCGAAGATTTGAGATTGATTTTCTACCATTCTTAACCATCATTGGGAAATTCATAATTGGATAGATGTTTGGGACTGTTTTCATTCCTCCAAGTCTGCTCAATGTGCAATTATGGTACATGAGGTTATCATTCATATTTTAAACACGGGTTGGAAGGCTCGAAACAACATTAGATTCAAGGACAATGTCATTTCTTTAGTTGTCTTTATTAACTTTATTATCGCGATTACTTTGGTCTCGGGTAATAACATTATGTTGGCTTCTCCTCTCAACATTTAAGATTTTATTGTCTTGAAATTTGTTAAGATCACTATTTGGCCACATAAAGCGCCAAAAATAGTTGAATATATTTGGAAGTTTCCCCTTTTGATATGGATTAAAGCTAATTTTCTGAAGCGTGTTTAAACAATCTGGGAATTTTGGCTTGTGGAGGTATTTCTAGAGATCAAATAGGTTATTTTCTTGGAGCTTTTTCTCAATTTTTAGATGTTTCAAACTCTCTCATTTACGAACTTTCGGGAGCTATGTCAGCCATTGAGTTCACCTATGAAAATGGTTGGCTTTATTTTTGGTTGGAATCTAACTTTGTTGCGGTGATTCAAGCTTTCAAGCCTGTAACACCCTAAAACCCCAACTCTTTATACATAAAAGATAAACATAGAAACTAATTAAATATAATTAATTAAATAAAAAATTTAATTAATTACTTAAAATACTCCAATACCTTTAAAATAATTAATAATAATAACAATAATAATAATAATTAAATCAGGGTGTTACAACTCTCCCCCACTTAAAAGAATTTTGACCCTCGAAAATTACATGTAGGAAACAACTAGACAAGACCCCCTCATTTAGCTCTCTAACTCTCACGTCATGCTACCCTAAACGGATCCTCCCCCTTTTGTTTCGTTCCCACCTACAGCCTCCTACTGGATGGAAGTTAAAGGAAAAAGAGTGTTGATAGTGTTTCACACGCATGTCGTATATCAGGGTACAAACAAGTTCACAAACATAGGCTAAATGAACTTACCTTCTCTGATAACAACTTTGTAACACCATAAAACCCCGACTCTTTATATATATATATATATATATATATATATATATATATATATATATATATATATATATATATATATATATATATATATATATATATATATATATATATATATATATATATATATATATATATATATATACTCCCTCCGGCCCTTTTTATAAGAAACACTTCACATTTTTAGATTCATTAAATAATTAATGTATCTTCCTTACATTATAGGTCAAATACATTAATTATTTAATGAATCTAGAAATGCGAAATGTTCCTTATAAAAAGGACCGGAGGGAGTAAAAGATAAGCATATAATTTCTCAAGTATAGGTGTTACACATGCTTAACACACATCCTTCATCAACGTAATAACATAAAGCATGCAACAGAGTAAAACATCAAAACTTCAAATAATTCATTTATTGGTCTCAATATAATTTAATTAATTGAATAATCCAAATGACTCAAGAAAACATACCATGTAACAAAAACAACTCGTCCCCAGTATAACATATCAGAGCAGAATGCGAAAATACTAAGTAAACTCAACAAAATGATAAATAAAACGAAGTAAGTATCTACGTCATTCCTTCCACACAGTAGAGGATAATGTTCTTCTAACTAAGTATTTGTATCATCAACCCAACAAGCCACACAAGCAAATAAAAAAGGGTGAAAAAAAAAACATTCATAATATTAACGGTGTAATAAACAGTTTGGATAATATCATACACAATATTCACCAACCCACGAATTAATCATAAGAATAATCACCTCACAATGTAAATATGTATGCAATGCGATCCACACCTCGACTCTAATGCATGTGATACTAATCCTGGACATCAGAGTTATGTTATTGAATTCGTCCACTCACTGATTGTTCACGTTCGAACCCCGAATCGTTACTAGTCCCCTCTTCTGAACCAGAGACTCGTCACTGAATGAGGTTCATACACCTATCATTGAAACACATGATACGTGAATGTAACAACATACAAGTGCAATAGTCACCACAGGTTCCTCTTGAAACAGTGATTCATCACCCAATAAGGCCACCACAATAGTTTTTATCTAACTACATTTCTCAACATATGCATATAATTTTAACTCAATAATATATATATATATATATATATATATATATATATATATATATATATATATATATATATATATATATATATATATATATATATATATATATATATATATATATATATATATAAATAATCATAACTCAACATATAATTATATACAACACTCACCAACACGAAAAATATTAACGTATGTGCTCAACAACACTAAGAAACATTGTAAACATATTATTACTTATGTAAGCTCATCAACATGGTAATAATAATATCCTGCAACCCTTACACTCAACAGAGTCAACTCATAAACCTTCAGATAGTTCATTAAAACACGTCCTTTTTTACCTTTGACTTTAATACTACCTTATGACAAGGGTTACCTTAACCCTCACCTCAAACTCCAAACTCCAAAGTCACATCATCATTTATGTCTTTGACTCTAATGCTACCTTGTGTTAACTTTCTAACTCAACTGACGGCACCTTGGACGGACTTACGAAACTCAAGTTACGTATGAAACAAGACGATCAATCCCCTTCTATGTCTACCTGCAATTTTCTACGTTTTTCTATTTATTGAACAGATTCAAAACTCATCTATTTTTCATATTTGACTTCGCACTGCCTAAAAAACATACCGATAAATATAGTGATTGAAAATTAAACATTCTAACTCTCGTCCTATTGAACAAATCTACAACTCACATGCAACAGCCATAACAAACAGGGTACACCTATTCCAATTTTATAGTTTTGTCTTAAGGTGTCACCATAATCATCTATCGACATCAAGGCATCAATATGGAAAACCAGTTCACAAATTATACAATTTCACATGTTCTCGCCTTATGGTGTAACTATTGTTTATTCAATCAATCTGACTTATCAAAAGGCATCAACAAAGTTATCAGAGTTATCAAAATCAGAGTACATATCAACTAGGAATTCATATCATACTCGAGAGTAAAAACATTATCAAGTAATCGCCTCAAAGAGTTTTGCTCAAACCCCATTTGTCCACGAAAAAAGCATCAATTACAAGTTATAGTAAAAAAAGGAGAAGATAGGATGGTAAGGACCCCTCACTATCCCTCTATTTAACCACTCATATATAAATAAATCTCTCTTACCTCGAATTTGCAGATTGGTAAGCTTTTGCCTTTTGGAATTCTATCTATAGTCCTTACACAAACAATCACTCTAGGTTCTCTTTCTCTTGCCTCTTTTCCAGAATTTTCAGGACCTCACTTAAGTTCCCCTCAACTTATCTATTTATTTATCCTAACTTAATCCAAATATTCTCTCACCCATCAATTCTCCTAACGCCCTTACTTTCTTTATTTTTTTCTTCTAAAATTCTATTTTTTTTATCATTTTATTTTAATTCAAATATTACTCTACTTTAATTAAAATAACACAAATCTCTAATTTTTTCTAATAAACTCAACCATCCCAATAAACTAATTAAATATAATTAATTAATTAAAATATTCAACACCTAATTTAATTAATTAATAATAATAATAATAATAATAATAATAATAATAATAAAATAACATTAACACTATTTAAAATTAAATCAGAGTGTTACAAAGCCTCCTTATAAAGTGCTTTGGCACATTCTTAAGAGAAGGGTCGATTTTGGTAATCTCACTGCTAGAATGATTTTTTGTTATTTCTCATATTTAGATAGAAGAGAATACTTGTGTAGACTTGACTTGTTAATTTATACCGTTAGTAATATCGTCGATTTGATTTGTTATCCTTATATTGGAGAACAAATTTTGTAAAGTATATGTTAGATTTATTTTCTTTTAAGTTTTTGTCACCCTGAGAGTGTCTTGACCTAGTCTTTTTTTTTATTTTTCTTTTTTATTTATATATATTTTATCTTTTTTTTCATATATATATATATATATATATATATATATATATATATATATATATATATTATCTTTCTTTTTTATTTATATATATTTATCTTATTTAACGCTTCAAAAATTTTATGCACTACTTGACATTTCAATATAATTTCAAAATGTCAATAATACCCTTTTTTTTGTAATTTACATCTTCTAGTTTTTAGAAGAAAAAAGAATTCCCAAATTCAGATAAAACCAAAAAGATGAATAGTCTTAAACATTCCAATGTCAAACATTAAATCATACCAAAAAGATGAACTACAATCACACATATAGATTGAAGTTCGGATTACCTAATGAGAATGTTGAAAATTATATTTTCCCCCAAAACACAAATGCCACGTGGATTGATGATTGTATTTGCAACCTCAAAAAGTGGTCGAATCTTAGGATTTCATCCACACATCTCTCATCACACAATTCCACTTCACTGCTCTATCACCAAACAACCAACCACTAGCAACTAACAATGGCAATGGAGATCACTGCTATGGCTTCACCATCAACAAGACCCTCTCTTCCAACTCCTTCCACCTTCAACAAGCCTCAACATAAACGCCTCCACAACATATCATTACCAACATCAACCACCATTTCACTACTCGCTCTTTTCACCCCTCCAAATGAAGCCAGAGCTTCTGTTACAATCTCCAAGGACCAAATTGTTTCTTCTCTCACCCAAGTAAGTTTTTCTCCCAAAGTTTCAAACTTTATCAAATTTCATCAATTTACAAACATGCATAACTAGTTGCTAAAATTGCAATTTTTTTTATAGGTGGAGCAGACTATTGATCAGGTTCAGGTGGTAGGTTCTGGTTTTTTGGACACAACACAGCGTGTTGCTGGAGCTATTGGGAATGTTTTGAAGCCTGGCTTCGATGCGGCGTTGCCAATTGTGCAGCAGGCTGGTGAAGAGGCTCTGAAATTTGCTTCACCGGCTTTCTCTGAGGCTTCTAGGAAGGCTCAAGAAGCACTTCAAAGTTCTGGTGTTGATACTCAACCTGTTGTCACTGCTGCTAAGGTTTGCTTAATTAATTGAATCTTTCTATTTTATTTGAGACCAGTTTTCTTTGGATTGATGATGACTCCTACTCACCTGTTGCATGGCAATGTTAACTAACATTTTGGGGTTGTAAGTTTTTGCAATGTTGAATTTGCTTCCTATTGAGCAATAATGTGCTAATTAAACTTTTGGGTTCCAAATACATTACTATCTTTTATGTTCTGGTTTAATAGGAGTGTGACTCATGCAATAATAAGCAGGCAGACACTTGAGCGGGGTGGAGCGAGAGCAACCACCCTTTGGGTTACGACTAGGAGAGTTGAGTGTGCAATGGGGTGTAGACCAAATGATATGGCTCAGGTGCAAACTATTGGGAAAAACCGAAGTCTTACCTTGGTTTTAACCAAGCCTACAAATAGTTTATATAGAGTGATATCCCTCACCTTACAAGTTGGTTTTATAGGAATGAGTTAGACCAAACTCTAATTCTAACGGTATCAAGAGCCTATCATTCAGGCCACCCACCAATATTCGTACCTTAGAATTCAACACATAATTGTGTCTATTTCAGCTCTTAGGGAGTTATTATCACTGTTTCGATAAGTTGCTTGATATTTGAAGAATCAAGTCAGTTTATCAATGTGAATCAAATATATTATCTTTGATTTTAGACAGTGGCAGATGCTGCACAACAAACAACCAAAGTGATTGAAGGTGCCAAGCCAATAGCCTCATCAACCATGGAAACTATAATTTCTTCAGATCCCACTGTGATTGCTGGAACAGCTGGAGCACTATTTGTCGCATATCTCTTGTTTCCTCCTATCTGGTCTGTCATCTCCTTCAATCTTCGTGGTTACAAAGGTACAAACCACCCATGACATGTGTTTATTGCCGGTTTTTTGTGCCTCTAATGGCTACGTAAAGGATTGGACTTGTGATTTTCCAAGCTTCTTATGTCAAACTGCAATTTTCTTTGTCTGATACTTGTGCTTTCTTTGCAGGAGACTTGACACCAGCTCAAACACTTGATATGTTATGCACACAAAACTACATCTTGATTGATGTACGGACGGAGAAAGATAAGAACAAGGCCGGTATCCCCCGTCTTCCGTCTAGTGCTAAAAACAAGATGGTTGCCATTCCGTAAGTGCTTTTCCTCTAGTGCTCGTACTTACTACTAATTGCATTTAGATTCTTGTGGAAATCACACATTTGATGCAGTCATGCAATTTAGACCGTGAAATCAGGATCAGATGGCTAACATTCCTACATCATTAAATTGAATCCATATTGCCGATTGCATGATTGTGTGAATGCTTGATTTCTCGAATGAAAGAAATCCAAATCCAACACGAGCGTTAAATGCTTATTTATATGATGATCTATATATTAGAAATAGTTACAAGTTAAGATTTGTTGTTAGATACTCATTGTAATAAACTTTTCTCATCTTTTTAATTTGAAATAATCATAACATGAATATCAGTCTTGCTTTTATTTGAACTCAGATTGGAAGAAGTGCCAAGCAAGATAAAAGGACTAGTGAGGAATGTGAAGAGAGTGGAAGCTGAAATAGCAGCATTAAAGATTTCATATCTGAAGAAAATAAACAAAGGCACCAACATCGTGATCTTGGACTCGTATGTTTCCTTCCAAATCCATCTTATTATTAACCAACCATTATCTAGGAATTACAAGGTCAAACACGGACATGATACCGACACATTGGCACATAATAATTTAAGAAAAGGGAATTATTGAATGTAACAATGCTTATTGTTATCGTGCCAATATATCGTTTCAGACATACTTTCAATACTTATTAACTTTGTTTTTAGTGTTAACTTGTGATGTTTGGACAAAACTTAATAGGTACTCGGACTCAGCAAAGATAGTTGCAAGAACGCTAACGAGGCTTGGATTTAAGAACTCATGGATAGTTGGTGATGGATTTTCTGGAGGCAAAGGGTGGTTACAGAGTAGATTAGGAACGGATTCATATAAATTTTCGTTTGCAGAGGTGTTGTCGCCATCTAGAATCATCCCTGCGGGTGTTAAAAGTTTTGGAACAACCAGCAGGCAATCTAGTCAGAAACTTCTTCCAGGAGCTGACTGAGATTGTTTTCCCTCACTCAACATTGAACTCTCTTGAATATATATGTGCCTTGATTTATGAAGTCCTTCAAATTATATTCATTTGATTAAATCTCTCTTTTGAAGAAAGTCATTAGTTCATATGCGATAAGAAAAAAAAATTTAACACTATTGAATTTTTTGAAAAATCCAGTAAATTGCAAGACATTTTGAAAAACCCGACAAATTATAAAATATTTCTAAAAATCCGATAAACTATCAACACATTTCGAAAAATTTGGTAGCATAAAATTTTGTTTGTCTATCAAATATGAACTACCAATTTTTTAAAACTAAAAAATTCGGAAACTCATCAAAGATATTGAATTTATCAAAAAAAAATTTGGTATGTTAAATTCATTTTTTTTTAATTAATAAAAATGCATATCAGACTTTTTAAATACACTACCATCCACGGCAGATTTGTTTTATATCAAATTTTTCAGTTGTTCTACAAGATTTTTTTTTTCAATATTTTAACAAGAATAATATGAATATTATAAAAATATATGTGGTTTTAAGATCAAATTGTAGGGGCGCAACATAAATTCTTCTAAAACTAGTGCCGGACCCTTAATATTGAATGCACCTAAATATAATAAGGTTTCATATTTTCGAGTATATCACACATTTTTAAATTATATGTCTAATTTTGGTATTAGTTATAACAAAGGTGTAAAAACAACAATTTTATTCTCAAATATTTATTAGACGTGTAGAAGAAACTATTGAAAAGAAATTACAAGTAACTTTTGCTATGGAAAGAGCATGCATATGTAATTTTGTTAAGTGATCCGTTCACAAAATCGTCTAACACACTAAATATTAAGCTCTTATGGGAACACACTTAGTTGAACATTGTTTGGATGCGTGTCTCAAGATCTTTGTGTGATCCTCTAGCAAGTGTTTATATCATATTACCATTAACTCAAGAATTGCATTAACTCAAGAATTGCTTAAGTAAATCATTAAATTTTTCTAGTTAATTCTATTGCGGTGCAAAAAATATTCGAGTATACAAACATTAAAATAATTATAGAGTCGTCATTGAAGTTTTATTTTTAAAGAGAACGTCGATAAAACTCTTGAAAAACAAAAACATGATCGTCACAACCAATTTCGAGTTCGAGAATCGGTTATGTAAGAAAAAGGTATTAACACCCTTCATATTCGTTGTAGTTAACAGAAACCTTCTACTTAGTTAGGTGAAAGTGTTTATCATAAAATGTTTGTGGTTTTTTGTTTATTAAAAAAATAATTATAAAAGAGGAAAATTTTAGTTTTTTTATTAATGGGTCTTACAAAATGTTGAGTCTCGCTCCTACGTATTCCCGGTGCGATGGGAAACTCGAAGCTACGTAGTTCTTTAGGTATAAAATATTTGTACGTGGGTTGTTTTTAGAGAATAGTGTTTAAGTCACATTCGAGCGGTTAAACTTTTGCTTGTATGCTTGCATTATCGAGGCTGAAACATCGATTTGTATTTTGCGCTGAAATGAGTCAAATACTACCATTTTTATGAAAAAGTTTGTTTTATTTACACGGGAAAAAAGATTACTTTTATGAGTTGAGATTGATTTTAGGTACAGAGGATGAATAACTGATTTAGGCAGAGTGTGCGCTAAGCCTTTGATCGCTCAAAAACATAGGTGAATGTACATTCACTAATTATTTCTAAGTTTATTGTGAACATCGCTTGTAGAAGACAAATAATCGTTCAGACGAAGTATGCGCTAAGCCCTCGATCATTCGAGAAACAGGTGAATGTCATTTTTCCTTATTTAATTAAAAATATATTAAGGGAAAATTAATTATTAAAAAAAATGAAACTATTTTTTTATTATTATTTTTGATAAATCTTATTTTTAATCTTTTGGTATTTTTATATTGACTTTCATTCTTTTTTATTTGAATATATTTGATACTTAGGATAAAGTGAAAAAAGTTAATAAAAAAATCAAATAAATTAGGTAAACTAAATAAATTAAACAAAAGGATGTGTAAACTATAATTGGGGAAATGTGAATAAAAACAAATAGGGCTCAACTCAATGGAAAGGCTCAAAAGCAACAAAAAAAAATCAATTGGGACTCGAATGTGGCCCTTTGATTGATTAGATGACTTTGATTTACTTAAAGACGACATGTGCTAGGCCGTTTAATCAAGTATCAAAGGCTCAGAATGGTGTGCTACTGTGGGAGTGTGAACATAGGATCAGAATGAAGATTCAATCTCAGCGCTCAGATGAGACCATGTGGCCTCATCTGGTGAGCCATAAAGGAGGTTACTTAAACGCTTTCTCACATTGAGTGAGTTCATTTATGAACTCTTTTTCTCTCTTTTAATTTCCCCTTTCATTCTCTTCTCTTTGAACCTCTCTCTTCACTTTAACTCCCTCTGCCACCAAACACCCCGACACTACAACAAAACCTAGGGCCACCGTATACCACCATGCTAACCACCCACCTTCAAACCTTGTTCTTCAAGTTCATCATGAACATGAGGAACACAAACCCAAAACCAAGAACATCATCCCTGGACCACCTTGTATACCCAGAAAACCTTTGTCCACCTTCATCGTGTTCATCAACAACACAATGAATTTTCATCTTCTTCCTCTAACCAAACCCTAAACCTGCCAAAAATTCACTTACACCTAACCTAAATCCTTCAAATCAAACCCTAAAACATTCACCTAACCTTTCTAAACACATATAAAAACTCAAAAACAACAAATAAAAACAATAATCCCCAAATAAAAAAAACTAAATCTCCTCTAACTGACCCCAAGCAAACCCTAACCCACTTTAAAATATTATATATCAAACCCTAAGCACGAACTAAACCAACATAATACCTAACCAACATCAAAAGCCATACATACATACATGTTCAGAGGCACAACAAGAAATAGCAAAAAGAAAAGTACTAACCTGGAGTGTCGTGTACTCGCTCAAGGTAAGATGCTCCTTTCTCTTTCTCTTTTCCTTTCTTTTCTTTATGCTCTGCTCCTCTAACTCCTTCCATTTCTCTATGATGTGAGGTATTGGTGATGAAGCATGGCTTCAATGGAGGCTAGGGTTAGTTAGTTGATTTTCTTCGATGTGAAAAAAATCAACTTAGGATTTAGGATCTTTGCGTATATGTTAATTCGTCCCATTTCTTTGTAAATCTCTTAGGTTTATATAGATAAAAAAAATTAGGTTAAAGCATTAAGTTTGATTTTTGTTTAGGAAATTTTTGATCAGATTATATTAGGTTTTGATTTGATTATAACTTAGGGTTTAAGTTTGTCAAATGTAACCGAATTCTAATGTTAATGAATAAGATTTGATTTTTCCCTTTTATGCGATTTGATCTCATTTTGTCAAGTCTAGATATTTTTGGGTGTTGGTGTTTTTAGGGACTAAAAAAAAATTATAAAGTAAAGATTGAATAATAAAGTAAATGAATAATAATAAGTAATAATAATAAAAGTAAAACAAAAATTTATTGGTAAAAAATGAGTAAAAACAAAATAAAGAAAGGGATAAAAGTCAAAATAGTTTCCTTTGACTTTTAGTCAACTAGGTTGACCTTTTACTCAAACAAATATGCAAAAATACTCAAACAAAGACACGTGTCTCTGATGAGTTGACTATGACTTAGTCAATGACCTAGAAAAAACAATTGACCTAAACAAAACCAAAAATGATTCACGTGAACCAAAATGACTCAGATGAATCAAAATGAGTCAAATAAATTAAAATGACTCAGATAACATAACTGACTCTGGAAAACTCTAGTGACACAACATATGACCCAAAATAGAAAGAACAAATAAAATGGTGGACAAAAGTTAGGGTGTGACATTTGTTCCTATTTAAATATCTGTAGTCGGAGTTTTTGGTTACTCTACAATAGTTGATTGCAAGTACTTACAACATACATACTTTGGGAATCAAAGACGCCATCCTTCATTTGCTTAACTTGAAGATCAAGAAACTAGGTAACATTTCCTACCACGCTCAACTCAAATTCATATTGCATTTGTTGAACAAAATGCTTCACCGTCTTGTTTGACATGCCATCAAATAAATGTGAACTATCATAAGATTCTCACTGTCTTTCATAATGTCATCTTCCAATAGCTTAACAACCTCTTCAAATGTCAAATCTTCCTTTGAAAACTTTCTTTCCAGGGCTATCCTCTTGTTTTACAAATACTTCCACTTCAACACAATTTCCTTATAATGGAAAGACATGTTTTCTAATAGAGCAATAGGAACATTTGTGGGAATATTTTTGCCACAAAATATTTTAGGTACCACAATGTCATGCAGAATGTCCTTCACCCCATCTTCTCATCTTCCACTTCAATTTGAAAATCATTAAGAAAAACTTTTATGAATCCCTTCATAAAGTTTATGTGCTTGTTAAACACTGTAATCACCTTTTTGTTATAGGAACACTCTAAAAATATGCTTTCATTACTACTTACCACATCTTCACACAATGTCTCAACATATTTCTCCAGATCTTCACTCAATGTCTCAATATATTTCTCCACATTTCTATGAAGGTGAGAAAAATATACACAAGAAAGGAGGGGTTAAATTGTGTATGATAAATTTTACTTCTTTTTCTTAAACCAGTTTTAGAATCTAAGATGTCAAGCTCAAATTTTGGTCCAAGTAAGAGGCTGGATCAAACCAGAGTTTGACTTCAGAGTTTGTTGCTCAGCAGATTATAAAAGCAGAAGTAAATAAGGAGACACGCGATATGTCCTAGTTCCTTTCAACCCAATAGTAATCAAGTCCCCTTGCATCAAAAGACCTTTTTACTGTAATTAATCAAATTACAAGTGCTTTAGCCAAATGCGCAAGACTTCCTGCTCAATCAAACCCTGGAAGAGACTTCTTACTTAAACCCACGGTTCAAGACTTCCTGCTTAATTACACCTAAAAGAAACTTCCTTGCTTAAACCCTCTGTTCAAGACTTCC